GCGTGTGCATCAGTTTTACAGATCTGATTCAATTGAATGCAGACTGCTGGTTCCTTGCCTCTCAGGCAGATACACTCCGACTTCAAAGGAAGCTCCCCAGTTAGTCGACTCTTACGACATGCTTTTGGGGAGGCAGTGGGTCTATTCTTGTTTTCCCCACAATAGGGCCCCGGAACCCACACGGGGGTAAATCACCACTGATCACTGGCATCATGAGAGCTAAGACTGAAATGGTTGGGGCATACTGAGAGAATGTCAGATGACAGAGAAGTGAAAACTGTATACGCAAGGGAGGTAAATGGTCGTATACCACGAGGCAGACCAAGAAAACGATGGAGAGATACGTCTAGTCAAACCTGCAAACACTTGGTGTCACCAACTGGAAAGAGAATGCCAACCAGAGAGATGGGTGTTAAACGTTTTCGCGTGCTTATTTCTACTTCTTTCATCAATTTCTTGCGCAGTAATTTTTGTAGACATTTCCCTGGAAATAAGCCTTAAGGGGTCTTGTGAAGCAAAAACTAATTTGGGTCCGGGTGTGGGGTCTTGAAAATATATTCAACGGGGTGCCCCTAATACATGAAAATTACTGGGCTACAGGCTTTCCTATCAGTTCAAAGGTTGTGTGTTTGAATCCACATCGAGTCATATTTTCCACAACTGAAATCGAATCCCAATTTTACCAAAGATGCAATTAGTACCAGGAAATAACATAGAAAGGTAAAGTGGCCGGACTGATGTTGACTATACAACCTATCAAATACCAGCTAGTCTACACACAAAATGTGTCTATAGCTCGTTCAACATAGATAAATACATATATTTCAATACACACCAAGGAATCATTGCGATACAATAGACATTTTCCGAGAAAATGGCTTGCAAGTGTGTGTATCAATTGGTGAACGAACTATAACACAAAATGCCTTATGCGATACTGACACGAAAATGGTGCTTTAACTACAACCAAGAAGTTTCTTTTTGCCTGTCCGTTCCGACTATCACCTGGCACCTAACCCATCACAAAATCCACGGAGCTATTTTAGTATTTGCCAGTCTGGACTCAAAAAATGATCCCGATCTACATCAACATCAGACAACGAGACAAGAGGGGGCTACTCACGCGCTACCACTGCGGATTGGGAGACGATAAAATATGCACGAATACGGGAGCAACGTTGAAATATTGAAACTTTTTGAATTCGTAACACACTACCCCAGAGCTTGGTACTATAAATTATTCAACGGGATCGATAATAAAATGCCGTCTTTCTCATCCAGTTATGCTTCTCAAACATAAGTTCGCGATGGTCTGCCCAGAGGAGTAAAATTCAAAGCATGATTTATTTTTCTGTCGGAGTTTCTGTTTGTACAATTCCTAATTCATGCCGTCGCTTGATTTGATATTTACACAGTAACGCTGTGTTTTGTTTTCGACGTTACAAAAATTCAAAAGATATAGTTATATTGAAGCAGAGCTTTGAAAACTGCATGTCAGAACACATTCATGTGTCGGCTGAAGTGTCTAGATGTGTCGCGCGAATGTAAAGAGTTAATCTTAATCGGCAAATGTATGTTATGTTGTCTAAAAAGTTTGACATCAACATTACACATTTTCAGAGCTATGTATTAGACCAAAGTGCAGAAGTAGACAAACGACCAGAACTTTTCACAGCAATTAACAGTCGACGAACGCTAAGAAAATGATTCTAAAATATTCGGTTTCGCGTCAGATTCTGCATGCATCTTTTTGATGTGCTTTGATTCTGCTTTAGTATCTCACTGTGTGTTTTTAGGGAGACTATAAGGACACTGGGAGTCGCCATGCTGTAACGGCTAGACACTCGCCTGCGGATCGGAATGTCGTGGGTTCGGGTCCCGACGGAGCCGAACTTTTTTCAGAAATGACCTTGGTTCCCAAGTAGACACAGCCTTGAGTGGGTACCAGGTGCAGTCCTGGGAAGGTAAGGCAGCCGGCGTGAAGCCGACCACATCACCCATCAAGTGCTGATTGGTCTATAAAATATAGGTCTAGCCCTATATGTCCAAATCACATGAAGGTGTGACAAATGGTCCTTTCCTTTTTTTTAAAACTATTAGGGCCCTAATGTAATTTAGTTTAATGTAATTAAGGGCTTTAATTCTAATGTTGTTTCAATGTCAAAATATGGCAGTGAAAGGTTTGAACAGCGGATCAATATCATGGCACACGATTATCCCATAAGTGCTCCGCTCTTCTTCTAACTCAAGCTGAGTCCGAAGAAGATCAACACAGTGCACAAGCTCTGTAGCACTAGCGAGGATCTTGAAAAACTTTGGGTAGATTCTTAACTCCACATTTTGCCTGGGCAGCGCCTTTAGGCTTTTCTTTTCGATTTCCAACTGCCAATTTATTCTTTGCGTGCGCAAAAATGCACATGGGCGTCTAATCTCACTACCCAGAGACCAGGGGGCATTACCAGAAGTCAAAGTCCACGTGCGAAAAATCCTAGCCCTTACCGGGGATTAAACTTGGCACCTCTTGCAGTCGCGGCGGAAACCATGCGGTCACTGCCAACGAACGTAGTAATAAAAAAGTGTATATATTACGTATGCGCGTGTGTGCGTTAGTTCGTGCGTGCGTGTGTGTTTGTGAGTGTGTGTGTTTCGTTCTGACAGTACGGCCAATGCACACATAAAAAAAAAGAAGGACGCTAGATCTCCATTTTATAGATCAATCGGCAGTGGATGGATACTAGAGACCACATCATGCCGACCGCTTTTACTTCCCAGGACTGTTACATGATACCCATTTAACTCTTTCTGATTCAGCCTCGGAGCCAAGATCATTTCTGAAAGGGAAGAAAATGATAATTTTTGCAGATTTGAACCCACAACCGTCGGACCCACAAGTCAGCGTCGGTCGGAAAGATATTACATGAATCAAATACAAACAGTCTTTAACTTTTGATCCGTTTGAGATAATAACTTGTGAAACCTTCAGAGTAAATCAAATCATTTGTTAAAAAAATAGTGTAATAAATAAGTAATTGTATAATGTCCAGAACGTTAAATGCTATTTTTATTCACAAAATGAAATTGAAGATGAATGATGTGGCATAAATGATTTAATCCCTGTTTGCATTATTCTGTATAATAAATTATTTTTCTCATTTAGTTCATTACTTATTTTATGCGTTTCAGATAAGACAATAATATATATATATATATATATATATATATATATATATATATATATATATATATATATATATATATATATATATATATATGTGTGTGTGTGTGTGTACATATATATGTATTTGTTCTTTATGCGGCTTTTTATTTTTTATGCCACCCTCGTCTGTTTTGGTTCACTTTAATTCCTTAATTTGGCTGTCCTGTAGTGGATGGTTTATGTGTAGTCTAGTTAGTTAGTAACTTAGATAGGTTATAATCACTGCACTCCGGACATGTTCATAGGCCCTCAGCTCCTCCGCTCAGTAGCAGTTGTATGTTGATTAACAAGTCCTCAGATGTCCCGGGTGTACGCCTCGTTTTTTGTCCATCTCAATTCCCAAGTCTTTTATTCTGGAGAGTGATGTGGATACCCTGCCTCCAAAGGCCCCCACCCTTCTCATTTCTCGGAGGGCTAATAATATCAGCATGATCAATAGGTTGACCGTCTGTAGTGATAGCTGATCCAGCCAACCTATCAGCTCTTTCATTTCTATCGACCCCCGCGAGTCTCGGAGAAAAAATGTGACTCCACGCACATTGGACTCAAGCCACTGTCTTTGTACCGAACCTGCCTGAGCCCTCTGGATCATACCCATTAGGTAACTGAGTACACACATACCCAGGGGTGTAGTTTTGTGTTTCGAGCCACATGAATGCTTGCGTTACTGCCATTTCCTCCATCGTCATACTGCCGGTTGTCATGGACAAAGTGCCGTAGGCTTCTGTGACTATTGTGCAGTCTAGTAGGATACACACACCAGTTCACATGCGGCAGAGTAAAGAATTCTATCCAGATGTCTTGATTTCGAATTCGCATCCCGATGGATTTTTGTCTGTAGAACTAGCCTACAGTGGATACCAGACAGGGACCTAGGAATATAAATACAAAAAAAAAAAAAAAAAAAAAACCTGGTGGCCCCTACCGTTTTAAATTACACCAGATAATCTAAGAAAATTGTAAAATATATGTTAGTTTCGTATCCTATACAGGACGTTGCAGAACAACCCAGCATTTTGTGGCTGTTGTGGTTTTTTTTCTAGGCAAATTCACGTCTAGTTGCCATTGCTTTCTGGACGGTCGGCTTCTCGATACCACTGTCGAAACCAACGCAAGGCGCTGCGTCCGCAGCTGGCATTGAACCTCGCACTCAGGCATTACAAAGCGCGTTCGCAAAGCATAAACCACATACTCCGACTCAAAATATATACCCCTTTTAAATATATGGAAAATCTAAATATACTGTCGTTTAATGTGCATTTTAAGAAATAATTAAGAATATTTGCAAAATCGTAGAAATTATTTTATTCAATGCATTAAAAAGCTTTAAGTTATAAATAATTTTGTGTTCTTGAAATATAAATGTATTCCCGACGCCCCTGTAGGTTGTGAGGTCCTGTTGGATGTATCTCATTTAGATTATGCCTAAATCCAGCACTGTTACTAGAGAGGTAATATCCTGGGAAGACTTAAGTTCAGAAATGGACGAACAACCATAACTTTCTGAGTTTACTGTCGGTGAACTCAAAGAAGATATCAAAAGAAGAAAAGAAGGTAGGCTTGATGTTGAGCCATCGATTGTCTAGAATCGTATGCCTGATTCACCACATAGGGAAAACGTGTTCTTTACTTAAATTGTTCCGTATATAGTTTATGTGTGCATTCTTCTACTTGAGGTGATAAAAAGAACTCGAGATATTTAAATTTATTTATTTGTGTATTCTTCGCTTTAAAAAAAAATTCAAATTGTTTCTGATTTTTCCCCCCTTGCAGAAACAAAAAAATGGATATTACTGCTGCAAATAACATTGTGATTAAAAAGGAACCAAGCGAAAACACTAGCGGAAGTTCTGACGACGGTATCGGCCTAAACCAAACACACAATACAAAGAGTGAATCAACAGCACCTTCTCAACCAGTACCATTGAAGTACATCAGCAGACGCGGGCGGCCACCAGGGGGAGGCTACTCAATGAAATCCCATCCTCATTATGTCAGATTCAGCTCCCTGCCTTTGGCGAGCCCAGTGGATTTAGGCCGTCAGTTGTCGGGTGGGTCAAGTTCCACTCTGGCATCCCACGACATCTTGAAAACTAGTGGCTCTTCTTCAACGGACAGCCTTGATATTCGCCGTTTTGGTTTTACCGGTTTCGACAGCGATAAAAACTCATTTCGGTGTGATGGATGCGATGTGGTGTTCTCCAGCAGAGACACATACGCCATGCACATGCTGCTGAGAGCCAAGAATGAATCCTGTGTTGCTCTACCCACCTCGGCCATTTCATCCAACCCTGAAAATCCCACCCCAAGAGAGAAGTTCGAACGCGAGCTACGACAGCAGACAATGATAGCTGCTCTTAGAAATCAAGCTACTGTTATGTTATCAAAATCAGTTACCCATTCGGATAGTCTCGCTTCTCTGGTGCGATCTGCAGGAATCGGAAGAGATGATGCCGGATTGACCGGAAGCTGTAGTACGGATGGAGCGCTAACCTGCAACAGTTTGTTTTCTTTAGATGCGTACGGTCTTTACGTGGATCCTCACCAGTATAGACGAACTCTGGAAGAGTATGGTCTTAGAGCATCTGCATCTGCAGGTTCATTGGAAACAACAACGGAACAGCTAAGCTGCAGAGAGTGTGGGGAAATTTTTACCGGTAAAGATGCGCTTGCAATGCATATGATGTTCCATACTCGGGATGACGACAAGGAAACCAGTCCAAGTGTCAGCTGGGCGGATTTGAGGTCGATCTCAAGTCAAAAACAGGAGTCTCCTTGGTCGTCTGCATCTTCTTCTCCTTCGCAATGCACAGGGCAAGGCAAAAGAAACAAAAGAGAACCCAGCGCAGAGAGAAAAATAGAAAATAAAACAGAGAAGGGAGAGCTAACAGCAGAACGGGTAGCTGAACTAAAACAAATGGCTATAGAATCTTCGTTAAGGTCATCTTTGAAGACCACAGCTGCTGCTTTGAGGCAATATAGGCGACCTAAAAGTGTGTCACAGGACAAACCGGCAACAGAGTCGGCTGGGAACAGACCGCTATCCGCAGACGACGTTCGTCGGTTCACGGCATCAGCGCCTAAAACACACCAAGAGCTCACAGAATCTACTCTCTTCAGAAAAGACTGCAGTGAAGATCCCTTAAAACTAAAAATAGGGAATAAGCGATGTTTCCTCGCTCTAGAACATGACACCGCATTTGACATCCGATGTGTTTCCAGAGACCAGAAAAAACAAAAGAACGGATACGAAAATATCTTTTACAATCTCTTCTACAGAAACACTAAGAGAGCTCACTCTTCGAACAACGCGCGCGCGGAAGCAGACGCTAGTGTGAGCGACAACCACGTATCTTCGGCGTCAGGCCCACAAGACTCCGACGACAAGTCTGATGGAAGTTCAGCACATGAACACGTCTCCAATGCTGACAAAGAAGACCAAGCTGCGGACTATTCAAAAATTCATACTTTTCCATACTTAGATGCCATTATGTCACAACAAGCAGTTCTTGTACCGCTTGGCTCAGATAACAAAGATGATGGTCATGAAACTGCTAGAGACAAAAAGCGATCCATGGAAGAGAATCAGAGAGCTCAGTCATCGGCTATAGATTTCAGTATTCGCCGTCGAGACACCAGCAAAGAGGGCATAAAACAAAGCAGCTGGTATGTGTCACAGACTAATCATGATAATGCCAACACTGAAAGCCATAAAGACAGTACAGGGGCAGATCTGTTGTCAACGACAAATACAAAAACGAACCGATTCAGAAATCACGGCAACCCCTTTTCTCAGTATCAAAACCTCAATTGCAGCGAACTGAACCAGATGGAAAACCCAGGTCACAGACTGGGAAAGAAACAGCAGACGGTGTCCAGGTTAGGTATGGGTTCAGGCAGCATCCACCAGGAGAACGAGCCTCGAAACTGGACGGAAGAGTCCAGCAACCGAGTAGGGGAGGCGAGGTACTGTCCTCACTGTGAAATCCTCTTCCTGGATGTGACATTGTTCCACTTGCACATGGGGCTGCATAATGTTAACAACCCGTGGCAGTGCAACACGTGCGGGTTGGTGTGCACCGGAAGGTTAGACTTCAACATCCATGTCCTTCATTATTAACCAGCGACTAAAAAAATCAGGCTGTCCTAGGAGAAGATTGATTGACGACATTAAAGAGCTTCTATAGCGACACGGAATAACAATAGTTATTGCTTTCCATCACGCAATGGATCACAAACTGTTCCTCCCCGCGTCACTCAACAGTAGAGGTGAAAATTTATCACTATAATGAAAATGATGTATATAAAAAACACTAAATCGCAATATTTTTTCATGTTATGGAGAGAAACTGGAATGAAAGCCAAACGCCCGACCAGACGACGCTGGATACAGAAATCAAGGACACTCCGACATTTCTCGAGGCGGTAACGATGGTACCGGCTGACTTTCTGGACTGCTGTGATGAGAGGGATTTTCCGCAAAGAGTCTGTCGACGGAGATGATGATGATGATAAAGACGATGAGGAGAAACAAGCTTAGACACTATGTAACAGTTGCAAACTTATTGGGAAAAAAGCAAGATTAAAGAAAAAACACGATTAGTTTCACCAGTTTACAAAGGCAGGACAAGAACACTGGCCTGATCCGTGCTTGTAGTGATCGCATGGAAGGGCAAACTTCGCTTACCAGCGCGCTACACAATTTCGATAGAATGGTTCTGTTTGTAAGTCGTTTTGATAAGGCTCCTACAACTTTTAAGTCGTTTTTTTCCTTGATAATTTTTACATAGGTATATGTGTACGAACAATGCTTTTATCTTAATAGTAAAACACAAAAGTCATGGAGTCTAACTAGTTTCAACATTTACCAGTCGACCACGAGGTCTTGAATTCGAATCACCGTTTGGGAAAAGAATTTTTTTTAAACATGACCTGTGCTGTCAAGCTGTTTGAGCCTAAAATGCATTTCTTGAACTACGGTGGAAAGTAGAAAGACATTAGAACAATGTATATTATTCAACGAGTGTCGACTTGTCTTAAAAATAAAGAGCTAGCACCGTGAAAAAACTGTTTTGAACTATTTTACTTCTGTTATCAATCAAATACGTTGCAGAAGAGGTAATTTAATAGTCCAAGTGCAATATTTACGTAGAGCAATGTAGATTGCTGAAACTTCAGATTTCGTGCTTCGCGCGACGCTGTTGGCAAGCGGGTTGTAGTTATACAAAAAGAATCTGAGCCTTGTGGAATAATCTGAAGTGCCAAGAAGTAGAAAAAAAGGTAAAAAAAAAAAAAGAGGGGGGGGGGGGGTGAGGAGCTAGGGATGTTTCCTCTATCTTCAGCAATTCAATGTCCTGAGACTCCAGCACGACAAAGTAAAAAAAAATGAGTATTGGGCATATAGGGCTAGAACTGTATTTTATAGACCAAACAACAGTCAGTTGCTGATGTGATCAACATCACGCTGGTTACCTTTACTTCCCAAGACTTTACCTTGTACTCATTTGAGGCTGGGTCGACCTAAGAGTAAAGTCATTTTTTTTGGGTGGAAAAACGTCCGTCACCGTCAGCATCTGAACCCACGACCTTCAAATCCACAGGCGAGCGTCTAGCCGCTACACCACGGCGACACCCCTCCAGCACAGTACCGGAGAAATATCGCCCCATTTAAAATAATAACCTTAAATAACAGCAGATGTGCATTCTGGTACCGAGAAGACACCAATAAATTTCAATTTTATATCAGTCAAACAAGACAACTTCTTTATGTGTTATCAATATGGACATTCTCTGTGTACTCTGAATACTTCCACAAGTGCCAGACACATCCCTCAGCATAATATAAACATCAGCGTGCTGTGTGTCGAGACGATGGAGAAAGATGGTTTGGTCATGTATCACCAAAGTTTCTGTGACCAAGCGATCAAGCTCTTTGCCTCGAGCTCATCAGTTCGGTTTCGGACGCCATACTTCTCTTTGCGAGTGCAGGTATTCATAGATCCTTGGAGTCATCGCTGGAGTTACAGTTGCGTGCTTTGTGTAACCGTATCTACGGGGGATCTGTCGTTCTACAGAGAGAGAGAGAGAGAGAGAGAGAGAGAGAGAGAGAGAGAGAGAGAGAGAGAGAGAGAGAGAGAGAGAGAGAGAGAGAGAGAGAGAGAGAGAGAGAGAGAGAGAGAGACTAGAGTCATTTCGGATCTTATCCGATGCAATGAAGTCGGTCCTCTTTTTTTTTTAAACACCTCTCCGTAACGAAAGTACGCTTTATGACTTATAAAACAGGAGGAAACAGCAAAGTGAGCAGGATCACCAATACAGAACTTTGTAATTGTGACTGACAACACCAATACAGAACTTTAAAAGTGTGCCTTCAACACCATTATAGAACTTTGTAATTATGACTGTCAAAACAGGGGGAACAGCAAAGTGAGCAAGGTTTACCAATATAGAACTTTGTAGTTATGACTGTCAAAACAGGGGGAACAGCAAAGTGAGCAAGGTTTACCAATAAAGAACTTTGTAGTTATGACTGCCAAAACTGGAGGAACAGCAAAGTGAGCAAGGTTTACCAGTATAGAACTTTGTAATTACGACTGCCAAAACAGGGGGAACAGCAAAGTGAGCAAGGTTTACCAATATAGAACTTTGTAATTACGACTGTCAAAACAGGGGGAACAGCAAAGTGAGCAAGGTTTACCAATATAGAACTTTGTAATTAGGACTGTAAAAAACAGGGGGAACAGCAAAGTGAGCAAGGTTTACCAATATAGAACTTTGTAATTATGACTGTCAAAACAGGAGGAACAGCAAAGTGAGCAAGGTTTAGCAATATAGAACTTTGTAATTATGACTGTCAAAACAGGAGGAACAGCAAAGTGAGCATGGTTCACCAATATAGAACTGTGTATCTATTGGAAGTGCCGTAATTATAACTTTGTTGGATCTTGAATAAAGTATCTTGAAGTCATATAGCTCAGGTTCATGATGAATGGTGTCTCAACACAAGATAATCGATTTCATTGCAAATTAAAGAAAAAAGGCTTTACGCCCCCCCCCCCCCCCTTTTCCGCCCCCATATACCCATGTATACACGTTTTCTTTTCAAGTATTTGTTGTTACATCTCATATTATTTCAGATTTATTATTCTATTATTTGCCATTAATACATTTTATTATTATTATTACTATTGCGCACTAAAATTGTCAGGCTCTCTCGACTGTGGTGATCCTGTTTAGAACACTACGGCTACCAGAAAATAAAATTGAAAGAAACGAGAAGAAAAACAAAAGACAGCTTCAGTTTTACTTAATGTGTTTAATCTCACCGGCAAACAAGGGTGTTGCACTCTGTTGTATTCAACTCCCGACTATCAGTTCTAGAATGTAAGGCCCCTCTGATGTGTCTCTACCTTAGTGTGAGTTCGAATGATCCTAACAGCTGAACGGACGGTAGCTTAGCTTCTAGTAGGGTCTGTCATGCAGGACAGGTCAAGGGATAGTTAGGAAAAGCTATAAACAACTTGAAATAATATTAGATTGTGCAATGAGTGGAACAGAGAAGATGTACACACAGTGAACAATTTCGACCACAGTCTTTATCAACGGACAGGTAATACAATTTAAACAACAAACACAAGAGAAAGTCAATGGTGAACAAGAAAATGTATCGTTATTCCTTGACATCAACTAATTTCTATTTAAGCTATCAGTGAATGAGAGCTACAGAGGGGCACAAATCTGTTGCTTTGCAGTACTGGTCTGAAATTGAAGTACTGAGCCACAGATATGACAAAACATGCAGCGTAGCTCGCTTCACATCGTTCAACGAATCAATAATGAAACCGATTTTATTATGGTTACGACAAAACCCCTATCCATAAAGCAAAGCGAATCATTCAACAAGCAACATCCATCTATGATCCGGAAAAAAAAAAAATTGTAACGAATCAGGGTCAGCCGACAATAAGTAACCGCCATTTTGTTTAGCAAGTGAAAGGTGTATGGCTACGTGTGCAGCGTGGAGCAAAGATTGAGTATTAAATTATGTTTTCAACAGGGACAATTGCTCTTGGGACAATTAAATTACCGAGGCTAGTTTCTAAGGAAAAATGTTTACACAATTGTAAATCACATTCATATACCATCATTCTGACAGCCAGTATTCGATCTTCCTTTTTTGTTTTGTGACTTTGGCAATGAGTTTATCATTATAAAGAGAAACTGGACTTCCCTACTTTACTTTATCCTAAACTGTCTCCACTGAGATTTTGAATCAGGAATACCAACTGAATATATGTGCATTGGATAAATATTCATTGCCATAGACTTGCCTAATTAACTATCCCAATATGACTCTTTTCTGCGTTTAAAATATAACTTAATGTTCGCTCTTTACTCGATATAACTCTCACTACTAACTAGTTGACCAAAATGGCCAGTTATACACAATTAGTCGTCTGCTGCCCGGCAGCGTTACAGTCTGGCTAAATCATAGATGAATTGTGCCTGTTGGTTGACCAGCTTTGCTTCATGAGTGGCCGGACTGTGTGTGATATCTAATTCTAGAATGAAGTGTATCTACTGGCAAGACCGGCGGAAACAGATTATGTTGTAGTGATAACATCTCTAAATGAAATCACAGCTTTATAATGCACACGGAGAGCCACCGTCAGGTAGAGGCTAGATGTTGCCTGTCGGCTTAAAAATCTTGGGTTTGAATCTGCAAAAGACGTTTAAAAAAGAATTCATGGCTCCCAAGTCGACTAAGTCTAAAATGTAGATCAGGAAATGTCCCGCGAAGTAAAGGAGGCCGGCGTGATGTTGCCCATATCATCGATCAGGAGCCAAATAATCTTTGAAAATATGAGTTAACTATCATATCTATGAAGTGCTACTGGCATAAAAATTGTATTTTACTTATTTGATCCATACAGTGCAACCGTTTGTCATAAGTTAAAATAAAAATGAATGTAAAGGACCTATTTAGATGGCTTGAGGCGTTTTTTAGGTACACATTGCTAGCCCATAATTTTATGGATAATCGTTGCTCATGGTCCTAAGTGAGATTACATACCGTTGTTTTTTTGACATACATCTTTTCGAGGCTCGTAAAGGAGGTATGTATCAAGAGGTAACTAACAAGGTCTGAAATGACAAAAATTAAGTTCTGGGACACGACCCAAATCCAGAAGTTGATGAACAACTAGAACTTTCCACCGGAGTTAACAGCCGTTGAGAGCATACAAGCAGAAGAAGAAACTTGGCAACAAAATTAAATCAAACAAACCTACAGGGGTAACTAAACAAAGATCAATAGAGAGATAGGTAAAGAAGAATACAGCAACGAAGAGCATGTAGTCAAGAGACTTAATTCACAGATAAAAAAAACAGAATCATAAACAGTTAGAAAGGTTGCAGAGAAAACAAATATAGAGGCTTCATGAACCAAAGTACGAAACGAAACACGCACACAAAAGTAACGGGGAAAAGGAAGATAAAAAAAAATATATATATATAAACAAAAAACTCTACAAGGGGGCGTGACACACGTTGTTTGAGGGTTTATGCTCCACTAGAAGATTAAAAAAAAGGGAGACTCAGTCTATACAGATGAGCCTTTAACATGTCAGTTCATTACGTTATGTCCCAGGGGATATGTCGACACTGCGGTGTCGTTACCATTAAACAGAGCATGGTTAATCCCAGCAGACAGTGGCATTGATTTGGTCTCACATAACCTCACTCCAGCGGACTGGTTGGTCTCCCCAAATAAGAACTGTTTCAGCGAACAAATGGCAGGACGAACCGTGGCAAGATCACCAGAGGAAATTATTTTAATCACTTTTCCGAGCTCTGTCACCAGTTGTTTTAAGTGTGCGATTTATTTTAATAAATAGGAGTTAACAGCGGTCCATACCTGCAATAATGGAATAATGTTGTTAAAGCAGAATCAACGTATTTGTAGAGCGAACTGTCTAGACTTTAGATTACTTTGTAACAGTCGGGAAGCCTCAAAATAACCTTACGGTTATACATCCATCCATACTTACATTCATCCTTCCATCCATCTATCCAACATCAGTCTGTCAGTCTATACATCCACCCCTCAGCCCAGGCCTGTCTGTCTGCCTACGTGTCTGTGTGTCGAAATTGTGAGAATTTATTCCTGTGGGATTCTCATCCGAATAGTGACACATTGTGCTTTGCGACACCGGATGTGTTTAGTGTATAGCGTGCGGTCCTTGTGGGGTTCCGCTTCACTCCCCCTAGACCAGACTATCTACACCTGCGACTCACCTGACAGCCAACCAGACCGAAAAGAGAAAACAAAAATATATAGATGGCAGTAATTTTATCAAATTCGATGTCACAAAATGACGATCTTCAGCTAATGCCACATCTGCTGCTGCTCATCAAGGGAAGGGCGAGACGGATGTACAGACAGACAGTTACTGGTACCATCAGAACTTGAAGTCGTGGCTTGGGGAACGGGGTGCTTTGAGTGCTGTGATGTCGATTCTTAATTCAACATTCAACATAACATTCAAACGCCGCTGCCAGTCCTGCCTGGTTTTGGAGTGTTAAAGCACCGACACGCTGGAAGAAACAACACCGTTGATATCGCGTGTTGTATATTCCAGCACGTCGGTGCTTTTAACGCTCCAAAAACACGCAGGGCTGGCCCTAATACAACCCCCCCCCCCCCCTCCATTTCCCTTGGTTACGAGAGTCCTGCAAGATACGACACACGCATTCTCTTTCTGGGGAAAAATGTAAATGGAGAACAAAGTAGAAAGCTTTTCGAGCAAACAGTACACCAGGACACCCCGTAATATTCATCAAAGTTGACAAGCCTAACGAAGTATGAATAAAAAGTGACAAAGGGCGTAAATGAGCGGATCTAACACACTTGTTTACTGGTTTCCCCGTTTCGTCTGTCTATAAGTCTGTCTGTTTGTTCAGATTTCTATCTATCTATCTATCTATCTATCTATCTATCTATCTATCTATCTATCTATCTATCTATCTATCTATCTATCTATCTATCTATCTGTCTGTCTGTCTGTCTGTCTGTCTGTCTGCCTCTGCCTGTCTGTCTGTCTGTCTGTGCCTGCCTGACTGCCTGCCTGCCTGCCTGCCTGCCTGCCTGCCTGCCTGCCTGCCTATCTATCTATCTATCTATCTGCTATCTATCTATGCCTATCCTAATCTATCTATCTATCTATCTATCTATCTATCTATCTATCTATCTATCTATCTATCTATCTATCTATCTATCTATCTATCTATCTATCTATCTAATCTATCTATCTCCATCATCCATCCATCCATCCATCATCCATCATCTATCCATCCATCCATCTATCCATCTCCATCCATCCATCCATCCATCCATCCATCCATCTCCATCCATCCATCTATCTATCTCCATCTATCTATCCATCCTATCTATCTATCTATCTATCTATCTATCTATCTATCTATCTATCTATCTATCTATCTATCTATCTATCTATCTATCTATCTATCTATCTATCTATCTGTCCGTCCGTCCGTCCGTCCGCCTGTCCGTCCGTCTGTCTGCCAGGCTGTCTATTTATCTATCTGTCTGTCTGTCTGCCTGTCCGTCCGCCCGTCTGTCTATCTGTCTATTTATCTATCTATCTGCCTGCCTGTCTGTCCATCCATTCATCCAACATCAATCTGTCTATCTATACATCTACCCATTCATCAACCCACGCCAGTCAGTCTGCCTAAGTGTTTGTGTGTCGAAAATGTGAGGATCAAACACGCATTAAACATGGTTTAGGTTCCTTGCTCCTTACCCACAATGCAAAAACTTTAGAGGGATTTCGTCTTGCTCCTTACCCACAATGTACAAACTTTAGAGGGATTTCGTCAACACTGTGTATCTTGGGTGTTGCTTCCAGAATCGAATATCCCCGTTGATGATAGAAAAACACAGCAAAGTTGAGTAGCATTCAGGAACTGGGCATTTCAAGACTGTTCTGGTGTCTTTAACTTGCTCCTTGTACTCTTGGATTAGATAGGCCCGAGAATGGGCTATACAGCTGTAGAATCGGAATATACAATAACAATTATGATTGTCTATCCCTTACAATGGCAACATTTCCTTTTTTTTTTATCAAAGAATATTTTTTTTTTGTCAGTTAGGTTGACATGGATAGTTCTTAAAAAGTTAGTTACGTATCCTTTACATGACGTTGCAGTACCAACCACGGCATTTTTTTTCGGCTGCTGCTGTTTTTCCAAGCAAATCCACGTTTAGTATATTGTCACTCCTGATGAACGGTCGGCTTCTGGATACCACTGTCGAAACCAACGCAAGGCGCAAAGCCCGCAGCTGGAATCGAACCCGGCATTACGAAGCGCGTTTGCAGCGCTTAAGACACAGACGCCGACGGATAGATCTTAAGAGCTAGAAAATGTCAATCCTAATATACGGAAATCAATCACGAACCATTAGCCGAGTATTGCAGAATTATGTGGAATGTGTGGAGATGTGGTTTTATAGACGAATGACGACAACAACATGGGACAGATAACAATAACAATGAAGACGTAATTTTAAGAAATTAACTTAAAAAGAAACCTTTTTATCCGCATTAGAAGGAAACATGGTACATTCTTATGTCAAGAAGAAGATATGGCTATACGGATAAACGTGCTGTTCCAGTCTCTAATTGGAAGCTCACTTGGAAGTCTGAATACATCTGCCTGTGAGGCAAGAAACAAACAGTTTGCATGCAAATGAGTCGGACCTGTGAAACGACTGTGCACACAACATTCACTTTCCGGAATAGGGCATGAGTCCAGAAGTGGACGAATAACCAGAACTTTTCGCAGATGGCTAGTGAATGGGGGAAAGAAGAAGAAGAAGAAGAGGAAGAAGAAGAAGAAGGGGGAGGAGGAAAAGAAGAAGCAGAGTTTACTACCGGTTTGCTTGACCTTTCGCACCTTTCTAGAAAGAAACACCTAATTTCACACAAGTTTAATATCATTTCTAACCAACAAAACGCATCTTCATTTTTCAAACGTATCTTCTGGTCCAGCAGCAATGCACACGGCCAACCAATACACTCACATCTGCGCAAGTATTCAGGGCTGTTAATTAATTCATTTGCTCATGTTTATTTTATCATTCATTGATTAGATCCACTATGTTATCTCACATTGCTATCAGTCGGGAGTTTCATGTTTTTTTCCCCTTCCCTTGCATGTTGTTGGTATTTGATCTGTTCATAATTGTCACTCTTGTTTTTACTAATCCTTCTCTCGCGATCGTTTTCATTCTTTCTTCTCTCGTTTCTTTCATTCATCCACTGCCCCATCTCTCTCATTATTATTTGTCCAACATTGTCCCCTTAATCGTATTTAATTCTCCCTCTTGCTATGCTTAGCTGTCTATCCTAATTTCCCTCTCTGATTTTATTTTTTTATTTCGCGCTACGTTACTCTCTCTCTCTCTCTCTCTCTCTCTCTCTCTCTCTCTCTCTCTCTCTCTCTCTCTCTCTCTCTCTGTCTCCCCCCCCCCCCCCGAATGGCCGAATGTCAGACGGGCCTGCGTACGCAATTTGTAACCCTTTGAAAATAAAGTTTGTTCTTTCGTTCGTTTGTTTTCTCTCTCTCTCTCTCTCTCTCTCTCTCTCTCTCTCTCTCTCTCTCTCTCTCTCTCTCTCTCTCTCTCTCTCTCTCTCTCTCTTTCTCTCAATCGCGATGAGTGTGTGTAATTGTATGTATTGATTGAATGATTGATTGGCACCTTTCCGTCTTTCCAGACGATAGTGTTATATTGCGCTATGAAAAGGCATGGGACTCCCAGCCCACGGCGATGGCGAGTGTGACTAGCAAGACCCGCCCGTGTCAAAAAACGTCTTCCACAATGATCGTATGGGATTTCAGCACCATTCTTGGCGACATTTGTGTTTAATCCGTTTCTTTTCAAACGTCCGAGACCAATTACGGTCAGGGATGATGTTCATCGTCTCCATAGCTCAAAGCCTGGGTAGTAGTGTAGAGACCATGCATTATGATCCCTGCCTTGTTTACTTCAAAGGAAAGATAGCACCAATACGATTGGAACAAAGCAGGCTGCAGAAGCTGCCGGATCAGGAGAGCAGTGATTATGTATATATGTATTTGTGCATATACCTATATTTATATATATATTCTTAAAATATCTTGGACGAAAAAAAATGAGAAATACTGACATCTTGAAAGATCTGAACATCAAGGAAGATTGGCTAATAAACAGCATCCTGTCTCGGAAGTTAAAATATTGTGGTCATATCAAGCGCCACGACGGGTTGGAAAAAATAATAGCAAAAGGCATGGTACCAGGAAGGAGTGACAGGGGCCGACCAACACGAAGATGGGTACAAGATATAAGTGACTTCTTGAGTATTAAAGTACAAGAGGCGGGAGAACTGGCGAGAGACCGAGTTTCTTTCAGGCAGACTGTGATGAGAGCGACGTTCTACAAAGGTCCTGCTACATTATGATAATGACGATAAAATATATAACAGTGGCAATGACAATGACTATTGAACGTAAAAACCATGAATAAAACAAATACTTGTCCTGCTTTGTGATAACTTGTAGAGGATGTGCAACATGTCTAACCTCTCTCTCTCTATCTTTCTATCTCTCTCTTTCTCTCTCCCTCTCTCTCTGTCCGCATTAAGGCACTAAAAAGCAAACACAAAAACCCACACACATACACAAACACAGCTTCTATAACATAAGGACCAGACGTCTTTATTTAACTCTTGCTTACCTTCGACAAAAGTGATGCCCACAGGGGAACTCCATTGGGTCTACGGCCGTGCTCAAACACCCAGAGCACCATTGTTTGTCTGTGGGCAGTTCCTCTGTAACCTGTGGTCAGATGGCAAACAATAACGTTTCGTATCTGTTACACTGACAATAGTCAGAATGTTTAGTATTTGCTAAAAACATTCTGAAATAGCTATTGTTGTTGTTTTTGGTGTTTTTATTTTTTGTTTTTATTTTGGGCGCTGTCGCTGCACTTTCAGTTACACAAAAAAAATTACTGAAAAAAAAAAATTAACGACTACAACTACTACTACTCCGAATACCACTACTACTACTACTACTACCACCACCACCACCACCACCACTACTACTACTACTACTACTACTACTACTACTACTACTACTACTACTACTACTACTACTACTACTACTACTACTACTACTACCACCACCACCACCACCATCATCACCACCGCCACTACTACAACTACTACTACTACTACTACTACTACTACTACTACTACTACTACTACTACTACTACTACTACTACTACTACTACTACTACTACTACAACTACAACAACAACAACTACTACTACTACTACTGCCACTACTACTACTGCTGCTACTACTACTACTACTACTACTACTACTACTACTACTACTACTACTACTACTACCACCACTACTACCACTACTATTACTACTACTACCACTACTACTACTACCACCACCACTACTACTACTACCACCACCACCACCACTACTACTACTACTACTACTACTACAACTTCTACTACTACTACTACTGCTGCTGCTACTACTACTACTACTACTACTACTACTACTACTACTACTACTACTACTACTACTACTACTACTACTACTACTACTACCGCCACTACTACTAACAACAACAACTACTACTACTACTACAACACTACAACACTACTACTACTACTACAACAACTACTACTACTACTACTACTACTACTACTACTACTACTACTACTACTACTACTACTACTACTACTACTACTACTACTACTACTACTACTACTACAACTACATCTACAACTACTGCTGCTACTGCTGCTGCTATTGGTTATGCTGCCACTGCCACTGCAGTTATTAACACCATAAATTGTACAGATATTACCATGAGTTATTTTCAATAATTGATTTGAATTGTTTTGATTTTGATTCACACCACTCGGGGCAATAAAACAACAAAACATTAAGAATGAATACTAAACCAAAACAAATTGTGGAAAAAAATTGAAAAAGACATATAACTTAAACTGTTGAGCGAGGTCACGAGCAGGCTAACAGATTAGCTGCTGTCGCTCCTCTGGGCGGTGAGCTACTTTTTAAGTTCCCTTTTCGCGCCTTTCGGCGCATCGGGCATATGGGTAGAGCGTCCCATATTTTTACAGACCATCAGCACTCTGTGGGTAATGTGGTCAGCATTACGCCGGCTGTCTTTACTTTCCCAGTGGGTTTCGATCGCAGTATGCTGGCTTACGAGTCGGACTCGCAACGCCTTAGCCACGGACTATATAACTATTATATAATAAAGCGTATGTGGTGATGGCTTTATACTCTATGGGATCAGATGTATAGAGCAAAAATTACAGATATGGAGTTCATATACTGAAAGACTAATTCAACTGGGGGGGGGGGGGGGGGGGGGGGGGGTCTAGAGATTCTGGAAGATATTTAAAGTTGAAGGGGAAACAGAGGCGAATTTTAGCATGTCAGATTTTCGTTGGTTACTGAAGAAGGGGGCGGAGCACATGTGGGAATGTCCCGAATGCAATGATGTCAAATTTTTATTGATTTAATGATTGATTCATTGATTGATCGATTGATTCATTCATATGTTTAAAACATCAAAAACGGTTCTGAAGAAAACTAGACAAGTATATCACTATAATAAAAATTTCGAAATACACAAAAACGAGTATTTCACTAGAACACATTTAGAAATTGCTAAAACGAAAGTTTTTTTTTGTTTTTTTTTACAAATTGGTAAAAAAAAAAAAAAAACTGGTCAAATACGTCATGACAATAAATTGTGAAGAAAAGTAGATAGTTATTTTATTATAACAAATTATGAGAAACCAAAACACTCGCATTTATATAACGAATTAAGAACAAACTAAAAATAATATTCTATTATAACAAATCATAAAGTGAGGAATAGGGAAGAGCACTCAGCAAAAACACTATAAAGAAAATATAATAGGTATTGCAGAATAACAAAAAACGAAGATATTAAAATGAGGGAACAATTAAAATAATTACGCGAATGGCGCATTGAACACATGATGCTAAACTCATAATTGTATCTAACAATCGACAATCGGTGGGTGATGTTGTCAACAAAACGCTGGCCGAATTTACTTCCCAGGAGTAATACGAGTGAAGTAAGTTAAGAGCTTCTTTCACGCCAATGGCGCATGATGTTAGATGTGGTCAGCATCACACCTGACGCCTTTACTGCCCAGGGATATACCTGGTGCCCATTCGACTAGGATTCGACTTGAAAAGCTTAGAGTCGGAGGCGGAGCGTCTCGTCGCTACGCCAAAGCGACCCAACTAAAGCAAGTAAGTACCTAACCATATCACTTTACTATAACAAATTAGGAAGTGATCAGCAGCGCTTTTCGGTAATACTGCACTTAGTTTCCAAACGAAAATTCCCACGAGTCACAGCAGTAATGGATTGGAATAAAAGTGACACTCTTACAAGAAGGGAATCTCCACGTGACGCACTCGTTTATAGGGAGTAACGACCTATTCTACAGGCACCATTAAACTCACTGGCTCGGTCACCTTTAATGTGACTGGGATTAAGTCTTCTTGGGATTTCATCATCCTTAAGTAAGCCAGACAGATGAAGGTGACTCTAATGGCGACCCGTTTTTGAGCAATCAAATCTGTTGTGATTTAATTCGGTGTTTGGATTTTAGGATGTGTGAGTCAGCTGCTGTAACGCAATGGCTAGAGGTACGCCTGTCAACACGAAGGCTGTGGATTCGAATCCGGCACCTGGCAGATTTAGAGAAAAAAAATCTGATTTTGGCTCCAGTGTCGACCCAGCCTAAAGCGTGTTCCAGGGAATGACCTGGGATTTAAAAGTGGCCATCCCTGTGTGGGTTCTGGGGCCCCATTATAGGGAAAACAAGAACAGACCCACTGCCTACCCAAAGCATGTCGTAAGAGTCGACTAATTGGGAGCTTCCTTCGAAGTCGGAGTGCATCTGCCTGAGAGGCAAGGAACCAGCAGTCTGCATACAAATGAGTCAGATCTGTAAAATGGATGCACACGCAACACTCAAGTTCTGGAACAGGACTGTAGTTTAGAAGTGGACGAACTACCAGAACTTTCCGCCCGAGTTTACAGCTGGTGAACGCGAAGAAGAAGAAGAAAAGTGGCCAGGGCTATGTTAACCACATTATTCACAGGGTGCCAGTTGGACATTCATATATGTAGTCGCCATGGTGTAGTGGCTAGACGCTCGCCTGAGGATCGGAAGGACATAGGTTCGGGTCCTGAGGTGTGGGAATTTTGTTTCTTTAAAAATTACCTTGGCTCCCAGGTCGACCCAGCCTTGAGAGGGTAACAGGTACAGCCTTAGGAAGTAAAAGCGGCCGGCGTAATTATGACCGCATCCCCCACCAAGTTCCGGTTGGTCTATAAAACATAGGTCTAACCCTATGTGCCCAATACACCAGAAGGCGTGGGAAAAGTCCTTCGCTATACTATTACTTACAATCTCTGACTCCACAACGGGTGAGACAACAGTCGGCTTCTCTAGTCTTGGTGAAGCTATGTCGTAGTAGGTAGCGTATTTCGACTGGCAGTTCTTAGGGCGCCATTTTTCTTTGGCTTTGGTCGTCATTCTTAACTGCAGACCAGATGCTGTGACGGAAATAGGTTAAGCGAGGGACCACAAGTTTAAAAATAAATCACAAATCTAACTTCAATATTTGCTACACATCTGTCAAGACACCGCCGAAAGAGACCCATGTCTATCATAGTTATGTATATGTCGCCATAGAAAAAATACTGGTGGACTCGGAAAGGGATTGTGGGGGGGGGGGGGGGGGGGGGGGGGGGGGGGTGTTGACTGTGGACAGGAGGGCCGCTCACAATACTTTTGTTTTAGAACGGTGAGAGTGGCTCAGACTTTGTTTGGCTGCGCAGTAAGGTACTTTTCAGCTTTTCACCCTATCTCGTCGACTGTGAGATTTGGTATTGGAATTTTTAGTGGGTTTCCCGAAAGATCCTATAGTATAAGGAGGTTAAGGTTATGGTTAGTTTCCTGTTCTTCTTTCGTTCGCCCGGGATAGATTATCGATATCTGTAATGTTATCTCTAGTATGAACTTCACAGTATTTTGTATTGTGCTCAGCGACCCTTAACGTTCGGCTTGAACCAGTGTTTCTCTTGGACAGACTTTAAATAAATATATTTAAAAAAATCGACGGATAAGACAATTTCATGTGTAAACTGAAATATGGATTCGACAGAACTGAGATAACATATCGACTTTGAAAACCAGTGTGCTGAGGTCCCTATGACAACCACTCACAGGAATGAAATCTAAATAGTTCATAATATTGAAGATACATTTATTTTATTGGCATATCCACAAAACAGGTGTTAAAACAGAAACATAAATTAGATGGCACTGTGTAAAATTACTACGAACTATTTATTATAACAAGCAAAGGCGGAATTTTTTCTTCTTTTACAAATAATTGCTTTATTATTGGCTTAAAATATGTTAAAAGGCAAACAAGAATAGACCCACTACCTACCTAAAAGCATGTCGTAAGAGTCGACTAATTGGGAGCATCCTTCAAAGTCGGAGAGACTGAGAGGAAAGGAACCAGCAGTCTGCATACAGATTAGTCAGATCTGTCAAAGGATGCACACGCAACACTTAAGTTCTGGATCAGGACTGCAGTCCAAAAGTGGACGAACAACCAGAACTTTCAGTCAGAGTTTACAGCTGGTGAACGCGAAGAAGAAGAAGACTGACTTAAAGTCAGTGGTCTTCACTTCAGGATGTCATGTTCCATGCACATGAGTGAAAGCCAGTTCGAACGATGCTGCCCCATTGTGCTACAACGCACTGAAGAAAAGTTTTAGTCTGGAAAAAGAACATTTTTCTGTATGCGTGAACACTCTCGATTGGCAATTTCAACATTTGTGAAAACGATTTTAAATTGTCCAAAATTTCTTTCTGAACAATGCAAGCAGAAACACAAACACACATACATACAAAGAGAGACAGAGTGAGAGAGAAAGAAAGAGATAGATAGATAGATAGAGAGAGAGAGAGAGAGAGAGAGAGAGAGAGAGAGAGAGAGAGAGAGAGAGAGAGAGAGAGAGGGGGGGATATACTTCAGGTTGTAAACAGCACTAAATTAATTTAATCGATGTTGATTTATTTATGACAAGTCACTTGACATTACACAGTAACATGGGGTTCTTCTGCTTGCGGGGCCTCCGGACAAGTGCCCAGAAGTTATGCATAAAGGCAGCCCTGTCCCCAGGGCCCTAGTCAAGAGTAACCAGCTGAGAAGCCAAATTGAAATACCCACCAACCCCTCATGTTTTCTTTCTGTCAGCCAGTCTAAACCTCTCACACACAACTTATGGAGCATTTGCAAGATCTTTTGCTCTAAAGCCAATAGTGATTGTGCTAACCAAAAATACATTACAAGAAGACAGATTAACATCGAACAAGTGGTACCCTTTGAGTCAACAGTTAGTTAAACGTGCGGTGTCTATGCACAATACAAACATGGCGCACGGAAAGAAACGGAAGTTGATACAAAAACTAGTGAGATTGGGACGAAATAAACAAAGAATTACAAAACAAGAACTTCAGTGGAAAATAAACGGTCTGAGAAAAAAAAAAAAGACGCGCAACCAAGAGAAATAATAAGAAGAACACTCTTATAAACTTGGTATATCCTAGTTATAACTACAACTGGCAGGCAGATAGACTGACCGGTTCTGCAGCACTTTGTAGTAAACTGATGTATGACAAGCTACATGTTGTGAGAGCCCTTTTGGGAGCGAGTGAACAATGCGGAGGCACAAATAGATCACTACGGTCTGAGGAGAAAAGCGTTTTGAGAAGTTACCGTGTGGTCTGGTTGACGCTCAACACTCAAGGGAAATGCGAGACCGATATAAAATGAGTTACTGGTGTCATCGGAATAGGAACTCTTCTCTTTCTTCTAAAGATGGGAACAGATCGCTTATGGGAGTGTCCCGAGTGTTGTGATGTCGATTCTTAATTCAACATGGAACTATGACCCACAGGGGCTGAACATAAAATCGCCGTTTAACTTATTCGCTACTACTACTTTTACATATGTATGTCTTTATCCGTTTTTCTCCAGGCACCTAATCGAAGTGCGGGTGTATGTGCGGGCATATGTGTGTGTGTGTTCGTATGTGTGTGCATGCGTGTTTGTGTTTGTAAGGATCTTATATGTACTTTTCTAGTGCGTTGCGTAAGTTAATCTCCATCTCATTGACTCTTTCAGTCCCAAACAATGTACTATGTGTGATCAACTATTGTCTATATATGCCATACAACGCATGTTGGGTTTGTTTGTATGTGTGTTGTCGAAACTTGCATATTTGTTTTAAAATAAGATTTTCAAAATATGTTTTACAGAAGTCATACATTTCCTGCTTGTTTTAGAAGTGCACATTGGTTGATTAATTGTGGATCTTTCTCTCTTTAGGCATCTGCTATGACATTAACTAGGAATCATAACGTTTGTGCTGTTTTGGATGTCGTAGTTTCATATTTGCCTGGCCTTTATCTTGCACTGTGCTTATATGTTTTTTTCTGACTGGCTATTTGTCATAGTTGATATCAAGACACTTTCATCAAGCAGCCTGCTCTTTAATAAACTGTGTCATGAGTTTCAGTCCTAGGTAGGTAGTTGCACCCCACCAGGACATCACACAAGCAATAAACACCCGGTGAAACAAAGTGCTGCCATGCGGATTAGGATCACCCGTGGAGAGGTCCCGGAAACCCCGTTCAGCCGTTAGGCCATATTTTATGTCCGGCTATATTTAAGGCCCTCGGAAAAAGCCAGGGTGGGGCTTCAAATAACGAAAAATTTCATCCCAGTTGGAGACGACGTTTTAACGTAACAATTTTCAATATTAGTTTTCTTCTAATTTTTATATATTTTTAATTTTTCTTTCTTCTTTTTACTTCAACAGCTCTTCTACAAAAAGCTCTTAAATGTTACAATTTTTGTCTCAATAATTGTAGTTATAGTCGAGTTTCAACACTCGTAGAATAAAGCTGGCCACATAATATTTCCTATTAGATTTCCCTTGGTAGACAAAATTATATAACTGATTTGCTTTTGCACATCGTGTGTTGATTTCTCTATCCTTTCTGCCTTCCGACGTGAAACACGACCCCACATGTTTAAATTCACTTGTCTGTTTAATCAATGTGTTATTTACTTGTATTTATAGTTTCTGGTTACCTGTCTATCAAATCTGTATCTTTCTTGTCGGGACTTATTTGCATATTATATTTCTCTTGAGTTCTGAGTTCTGAATTAGGAGCGGACTTCATAACACTGTGGACATTCCCATAAGCGCCCCGTCCCTATCTCAGGCAGCAAGCGCAGAGTTTAAATTCCGATGGTACCAGTAACAGACTGACTGTATATCCGCCCTTCCCCTCTTCTGGGCGAACAGCTTTAGCCATACATCCTGGTCACTCCTAGTTGCACCATTCTCTTCAGGCCATGACGATCTATGTATGCTTCCCAACTGATTTCACACTCTCAAAGATCGTTGACAACATCTAGCTTGTCATGCATCAGTTCACCATCAAACGGTGCAGAACCAGCTAATCTGCTCGTCTGTTCATTTCCCAACACACCTTAGAGAAAATATCTAAAGGACGATAACTACCAGGATCCTATAAAACGATGCTTGCCACTCTGCACAGAGTCATATGTATAGATAATCACATTACCTGGGAATGAATTGTCATGAATCATTCGTGGAGCTTCAGATTCTGCAGCGTCCGTTGGCCATTTCATACCTACACTCACAGCGCAATTTGATTATAACTTCTCACAAATCGGATTCTTGCTCGGACAATTTAACCCACTCCCTTCAGCGCCCAGTATTCTCAAGCCTGCACCCATTTTAATTGTGTTTTCAGCTTTTCACATTTAAGACTTTCCTCTTTTTCAGCCGATGGCCCTTGGCCCTATCTAGGGATCCATATGTCAGTTCTTTTTGCTGTTTGAGCCTATCGGTAATATTTGACAGTGCAAGTATGTATCGCATACGCACTACTGGGGTATCTATTGTTGATAAACTTCTCACACTTGGCCAGTTGTGACCAAAGACTTCAACTATTATTTCCAAGTAGATATTGTAGTGTTCACTTAAATAGTATTATGCTTGTCATGGATTTGTGTATTATTATAGATACATAGTATCCATGGTTCTTTCCGGTGGTGGTGGTAGTGGTTTTCTGGAAAGAAAATAATCGTCACGTTCAATCAGCATCCCCAAAGGAGGAGCTGTAGGTTATCATTGTGACTAGGTTATGTGCACCACATAAAATGGCTAGCACTGCATGCCATCAAAAGTCTTGAACAGGACTCCTTCAGTTTTGATGCGATCAATCAAGACAGGCCTAAATACTGTCTCGACTGTCGACGAAGTCGTCCACAAGCGAGCTAATGGAACATTCGGTCGCCATTATACTTTCAGTCTTTTTTTTGGCTATTTTATATGTATATTATAGAACAGAATATCCATGTGCATGTATATTTTCAGTTGACCAAAATCTCCTCCAGAGGGGTGATCAGTAGACGTGTT